GTAACCATGGACGTCGATTGTCGGGGCCGTGGGTGTTTGGCATCTGCTGGAACCATGAGTTGGATGGAAGGAAGATCATCGAAAGATGCTATTTCGTAGTTGATCGTCGTGATAGGGAAACTTTGCTCCCAATCATTCAAAATGAGGTTGCGCCAGGAACATTGATCGCGTCCGATGAGTGGGCTGCTTACGCCGTTGTGAGGGAATTTCTAGGGCAACCAGTTTCGGTTCCATTCCCATTTTATTCGGGGAAATAAAATACCTCATAAACCAGAATGCATTGAAATTATCAAGCAATTTGATAGTAGTCTTATTGTCAGGTTTGAAATGAGAAATCAAGTCAAGTGGAGGAAGATGGCGAATTTCAGATTCTGTCGGTTTCGAAGCCAAAAAGTACACAGTATTCATAAATCATTTGTTAATGACCGAATTAATAAACACCTCAAATGTGCCGAACAGCAAGAATGTCCTTGGGACTTAAGAAGCCCAAATTCAATTTACAATGTGTCGCCTGACCTATTAATAAACTGGAGAGCAAACTCGCGGCTACTAATCGCCTCCGTCGGACAGGTTTCAGCCGAGTGCAAGTGGCGGCCAAGAGGGGAGTCCGACACAGCACGGCCAGGGCGTATCTGACGCCGGTGCAGCACCGCAAGAACCTCCACGTCGTCCTCAATACTCCCGTTGCGAGGGTAAGAGAGCCTTATTGGGGGAATATTAGTCCTGAAATATTGGAAAACGTTAGAAGTACTGATTTCGAAGTAATATCTCCAATTTTGAATTATGGTACTTTGTGGAATTAATTAAATTCGGAGCTTGTAGCAACTTCTGGATTTGGAGCTTGGAGTTGGTAGCAATATAACTATGGCGACTGCCGTTGGTATTTGTTAATTTTCCAAATATTGTACGGAAAAGCTTGACCGATCCCGAACGCAGCGAGAAGCCAGCTAGCATACTTTGTTGCCTCACCCCACCAGATCGTGATAGACGAAAAAACGGCGAAAGGGATCGAGTACCTGACCGAAGACGGTGCCAGGCATTTCGTATCGGCGAGGAGGGAGGTGATCCTGTCCGCCGGGGCTGTCGCCTCTCCTCAGATCCTCATGCTCTCCGGCATCGGGCCCAGAGACGAGCTCTGGCGACACGGGGTAGGATTTTTTGTGTTGTTGAAATTCCTTTCTGGTGCTTTTTTTCTTCTGAAGCGGCATCACCCCATAATCTGATGGTGATCATATTTTAAATTTCATCGCGGGGAGTATTTGGTCAATCGCATGTGCAAGTACTTCTGCAACAATGTTGAAGTCAATGATGATCATTGACTTCGACTCATTCACGGTCACGTTTTGCGCTGTACTGCCCTGAAAACATTCCCTATACATCTACGGCTTCTCTGCCTTTCCGCCGTACAAACATTCGCCCTGAG